TATATATATATATATATATGTTTATGTATGTTTATATATGTTATTTAAATACATAGGAATTGAGCGGTAAGCATTAAATGTTTCTTGAGTTTTACCAAAGAATTATGTTCGTATATTCAGAAACCCCTCAAAATATGTTTAGGGCTATCAAAAAAGCTCTTTGTTCTCGAACAGTTCGTGTTCGGTTCGTCAATAAATTCGTGGTAGTGACTTTTTTACTGTGATTAGAGTTAGTGAAGGTTGCTATATACTCGGGATAAACCTTATGTAGGTTTATTTATGGCATTCTTGTGAAGACGTTCTCTGTTTTCTCAGGTCTGTTTTGTTCCATTTCATATTTTGAAACTAAAATTTTAATGTCTTTTAAGATAAAATTAGATTCATAATAAAATGAATTATTTTGCTATTTGTTGAAATCGCTGTAATCCTCAAATAAATTTAAGAAGATTTATGAATCATTTGGCTATATATATATATATATATATATACTTGTTAATATTAATACATTCATTGATTAGATTTGACTAAATTTTGATTATGGCGTTATGTAGGACAAAAAGCTAAATAAAAAGAAATTTAATCAGGCAATGTTAAAATTCAATTTGATTTAAAAATATGGATAGGATATTAGTGGCTTCACTTGAGTTAGCCACAATGTGCGTTCCAATGCCACCGGCGCCTATGGACATCTTCACCATCACCGCCCTCCTCTCTCCCGCGCCAATGAGAGACCCTCTCGCTCTTCTCTAGGGTTACATCCAACTTTCTACGTGATTTCTTTGTTAATTTACAGGTGTTCCTGGGACGAAGCTTGCATTGCTTTCCCCGCTGTACCCCTAGCTCGGATTCGGTCACGTGCGTGGCTTCATACCCAATCCCGGTTCGGCATGTAAGAAGTTGAGATTATTAATTTCAGGCATGGGTGTTTGCGTTCAGTCTGGTTGGGCTTTATTACGCTTGCAGAGCGTATGAGTTTTCTATCTATTCTTAGGGCCCTCATCATCTCTCCAACACTGTTGGAAAGATTTGGATGAGGATGTTGTTAGAACTTCGGATTAAGTTTTGGGCCATTTACATACATACCTAGCACGCAATTCCTATGTATTTATATATCTAACACCTAAACTTTACTTCCTACATGTTTATCATCCAAATCTCTCATGTCACATAAAACATACCACTATTTTAACATTTAGTAAGTGAAATACACTTTGTCATGCTTAGATAAGATGACATATATATATATATATATTACGTGGGC